ATATATATATATATATATATATGCTTTTATATAAAAAGTTAGCAAGCCTCCTGGTTCCCTCTGCATTACTCTTCCTAATCCCAGCTTGATGGCATGAAGTTTTATAAAAAGAAAGCAAGCCTCCTGGTTCCCTCTGCATTACTCTTCCTAATCCCAGCTTGATGGCATGAAGTTTTATTAAAGACTCAGGTCTAAATACTAAAGACTGATGAAGATGTGAAAAATGGGATGATTCTGCCTGAAGAAGTTCCAATTAAAGTTTTAAAACTTACAAAAAACTCATTGTGACTTCTTGTTCTCCACCCTGCTCATCACATGTTTAAACTTCTGGCTGAGAGAGATTTAGGCTGGATCTAACCAAGAACTTCTTGAAAAATGAGGTTGTTAAGAACTAATTGACTGGCAAAAGAAGTTATAACTGCTCTTTCCTGAATGTATCTTGATTTAAGTCACCTAGTACACATCAGGTTACATTAACAAGAACAGTCATTTCTTTCTTTTTTTTTTAAACAGTCTCTGGGAAATAATTTAGATGCTACAACATATCAACTACAAATTGGAGGGTATGATAATTCACAGAATTTCATTCTGTTAAAATCTGGAACCATGGTTTTTATATTCAGGGTTTTTTCTATCTCTTTCTCTTTCTCTCTCTCTCTCCAACATTTCTCAAACTCTAGTCCATAAGATTCCAATCCACCAGAGATATGAAGATTCTTAAAATGCAGATTTAACCCTAAGCTCCCTATGCAGAACCTCTCACATAAATCTGAATATCTGTGTTTGGAATAAAGTGCACAGTAACACAATGTATGAGGATTACTGCTCTAGAAATTGGAGTTACCCAGAAGAAAAAATACTGTATGACAACTTGGACTCCAAGTCCTGTCCTCTGAAGAGGGTGCAGCCCCAAGAGTTGCATCCTCCTCTTCTCAGCCAGTTCAGAGAACAGCCCTGGACCCAGCCTCTGAGACAGCTCAGGTGTTGTGATGTGGGGTAAAATGCCAGCTACCCTGCTGCACAGCTCTGACTATTGCAGCTCCTTTGGTACTACTGACTCTGGCTGGCCAGTGACATGATCAGTTGAAGATGACACTACGCAGTGGTGGCAGGATGAGCCAGGTGGATTTTTACAGTGCCCTCCAGTTCTGTAAATTCTACTGCTAAATTCATACTGCCCTGAAGGAGTAGCTTCTCCCACCTCTTATTTTAAATTACAGTCTATTCGCAGGTACTAGCCTCTATATTTGAACTCTTGCCTCATAGGGCAAATAGAAAGGAAAAATGAAGTATAAATAACATGGCAACCAGGCACATCAGAAAATTTTGAAGTTTTTCTTTCAAATAATTGAAAAACTATCTGCTATGGAGGCAATTTTGTAACTTAAAAACAACAACAAAAAAAGAGTGTATTGGGCCACAGAGTCTCTCTGTTGGCCACCTTGCTCCACCAGGGGGTAGAACTGACAAATGTGTCCAAAGATCACTTCAGAAAGGGACAGCACAGGGCTTTGGTAATGCATCATCTTGTTTGTTCCATGGATGAGTTTTGCATGGTCGAGTGAGAATAAAAGCAAATGTAGTTCATGTGATCAATGATATATTGTGGTGGGGAGACCCCTCCAGGAAGGGACACTTTCCATCTTCATTGTCATTATGCATTTCAGGCATATGTAGAACTAAGGGGTTGCATAGTCTGAACAACCTAGTATAACTGTGTATTCTCAATAATAAAGGGGGAAGCTGCCTTGTCATTTTGCTCTTAAAGACATGAACTACTACTGTTGACCAAGATTTTCCTCAAGGATTAAGTGTAGAGACAAAAAAAAAAAAAAAAAAAAAAAAAGAAAACATTTTAAGTGTTTGTACATCTTTTACCAACTTTCTATACTCACAATCTTTTTTAATCTCCCAAGGAAACCCCAGCACACCTGCATTTCACATAATAGCAGCTCTCACCCAGCAGGTACATTTAAAGAAAAGCATCTGTCAGGACACTAATAACGGTCCAGACAAGGAAGGGAGGAAATGCTGCGAGTACCACAGCAAATACTGTCTCTGGAAAATTTAAACTATGCTAGAGTGTGCCTGCTCTACGTCTGTTTGAGTTCTTGTTTCCTCCACTGGCAATCACTCCTGTCAATCTGTGAATTCTGTACAATGAACGAAAGAGAAAATTGCTTCATTTGTACACAGTCCCAGTTGGATGGTAAACCAACAGCATAGTGATATTACACTCAAGCTTAGATAACTCTTGCTTTAGCTTTGAGCTGAAAAGAAAACAGGTACTCTCCACATGAACATGGCAATATGATACCCTGGAGAAAGAGAAAATAGTGTGTGTGAGCGAGTAAAAGAGAGAGGAAGACAGAGACACAGAGATAAGGAGAGACAGAGGGAGGAAATTTTCTGGGAAAAAAGAAAAAAGAACATAGAGTCTCATTATTTATCTTCCACCATAAGTAAATGTCCTAGTTGCTGACAAAGTTCAAGAGTGTATGTCCAAAGAAACAGGAAAGGTGTAATTGCTATGAGGTTAGAGGCAAAGGAAACACCACAGAAAATTAAGTATGTTGCCATTTTGCCAACATACATATAATATCAATACTAGAACTTCTAATATGCATAGGAGACCACTAACTGCCCAGCAGAGTTAATCCTTCCCCTCTTTCATTGTAGCTGGACAAACTGCTGCTCAAAAGACTACATTTTCCCCAGCCTCCAGGGCAGCTAGAGGTGACCATAGACTAAATTCTTACCAATGTGTTGACCGAAATAACCAGCTCTGCAGAAATAATAATTAAGGTGGTTTATTTCTAAACAGAAATATGAGTGACCAAGCAAATATACTATACCAGGGACAGGACGTAGGAAGAGTCCTGTTATCAAGTGAGCCAAAATGGCCTGTTAATATTTGTGAGCATGGCACACCTCAGGCCTTCTGGAAGGAATTTTGGAAACAGGAAAAAGCAGTTAAACTTCTGTCCTCAAGTGGAACAATGAGGAAAGTGATGAATTTGTTTCCTGGTCTGTTCACTGCTGTGTTTTCCTAATATTCCTCACAAACTGGAATATAGACATACCTATGATCAATTTGGACCTTGCTGATGAGGCAGGATTATATGATGAGGGGAGAACAAACAGATGGAAGCACTCTGTCATTTTGAATGGCTATATGGAGCAAAACTAACCTGAACCAAGAAAATACTTCATTTGTTTATTTATTTATTTATTTATTTTTTTACTTATTTAGTATAAAAACACAGGTCACATTTTATTTTAAAAACTGAAATGTATTTGAGTATAGAAAATGAAGATGGTTTTGCAAATTTATCAAAGGGGTACCTCTGAGGAAATCAGCATATTACACTCTGAGAGATGAAATGTTACAACTTTTACATTAAAATTTTAAAATGAAATGGAATTTTGAAGGGAAATGGTTACCAGGTGATGCAGGGTAGGAGATCAAAGGTGAAGGTCCGCACATACTTAAAACAGAAATCCAAAAGGATGACTGCGTCATGAGCTCTCATTAGTGTTCTAATAGTGCTTCTCTTTCGGTAAACTTGAACGTTTTGGCAGACATTCTAGTCGTTTTTTCTGTAAAAAGATTTTTACGTGACTACTACTGCTGTTCCCATGATCATCTTTCAGCTTGTTTCTGGCATCCATTTCCCCTCCCTGTGCCACATCCTCCAACTCCTCCTCCTCGTGACCAGGATCTCCTCCTCCTCATGACCAGGATCCCAAGTGTACACCTTGTACCTTTTTAATTTTATTTTGCTATAGGATGCAAGCATTTGCTGGAGCGAGAGAGAGAAAGAAAGTGAGAAATAACACCCCCCTCCAGAGGGAAATGGCCACACCACAAATCCTTCTCCTCTATTCTCCTCTCAGGATTTTGGGCACACATGCACACAAACCCAGAATGTTTTTTAAGCTGCTGGGTCTGGGACTTTAACAGCATAGTTGATCATGTGGGATCCAGTGCCTGAACTACCATGCCACCTACTAGTCCAAAAAAAAAAAAAAATTCTATTTATTTCAGAGATTATGTTTTTGGGTCTCTTTGTAACTGTATCTTAGTTTTCACCCTATTATACTTCATAACATTTTGAAATTGAGGTCTCAGCATAGAACTAAAGAGCCCTCAGATGACAGTTGTTTGCTCTATTTACTATAAACTTTCCCAGATTTGTAGAAGTATCCACGTTTAAAGGCAATAATACAATAATAATTTCGTGAGAGTTCACACCAGACAATGTGACAAATTAGCAGAAAGAACATTATACTATCTATTTCCAAAAAAGTAAAAAATCATTCTAAATTTACCAAAAGTGGAATGGTCCTTGACAAATTACAACAATCACACTTGTGCTAATTACAAATGTGTTCGGCCACCAAAACTACAGGTAAAAGCATAGGTGCTATTATGGGTTAATTGTTACCTCCTAAATTCATATAGTGAAATCCTAAGATCCAGTACCTCAGTATATGGCTGGATTTTGAGATGGAGCCATTAAAGAGGTAATAATGGTTAAATGAGGTCATTAGAATGGGCCTGGTCCAATAAGATGGGTCCTTAAAAGAAGAGGAGATTAGGACACAGACAATACAACTATGTAAAGACAAACGAAGAAGATGGCCATTACAAGCTAAAGAAACAGGCACCAAAACTAAAAACAAAACCCCGACAACATCTTGATCTTGGACTTCTATCCTTTAGAACTGTGAGGACATAGATTTATGTTATTTTAGCCACCCAGTTTGTGGCAGTGTATTGTCGCAGCCCTGGCAGACTGCTATAGGGAGTAAATGCCAGGCTCTTTTCTTCTCAGTCAGAACTGAGGAGAGATTCTCACGGTTGGTTCTTTAACAATAAAGAAGAAAGAGAAGGAGAAGAAGGAGAAGAAGAAAAGGAGGAGGAAGAAGAAGATGAAGAAGAAGAAGAGAGGGACCAGCAGTTAGTGTAATGGCTATGTCGCTGAACTCCCATGTAGTCGACCGCAGTTCGCGTCCTGGAACAGGTGGCTTAAAACTCATGCCGGGCGCGTGTGCGTACGTGGCCAAGATCCCGAGAGGAGAACAGAGGAGAAAGGATTGAGGCGTGGCCATCCCCCCAGGGGGTGATTTCTCACTTTCTGTCTCTGTCTCACTCTATGGCGAGCGCATGCGCCCTATAGCAAAAACCTCTCCAAAAAAAAAGATAAGAGAAAGAAGAAAGGAAGAGATCAGAATCAAAGGAGAGAGAGGGATCAGGATGAGGAAGACAAGAAATAGAGAGAAAAGGAGAAGGAAGGGAGAGAGAAATGGAAAAAAGAAAGAGAGAGGGAAGGAGGGAGGAATCTGGTTAGTCCTATATAACTTCCATTCATTTAATTTCAGGGGATTTTACAAGAGAAGACTTGCTCATGTTTTGACTTGTATCTAAACTTTCAATGATGATTCTACCTTACTCCCCAAAATTCATTTGTATTCCCCCCAAAATACTTTTGAATTCATGCCTTATACCTTATCCAGAAGTGTACTCTAGAGGGCCAGGCCTACAGTGGTAAAACACAATGCTCTGTGAATCATAATCACATGGGAAGGTTGCCAGTATGAGTCGGGAGACCTTCCTGAGTACACCATGCCATGCATGTGTTGCCCATGATGTGGGGGTAGTTGAGACTGAGGGTGGATTGTGACATCAGAATCCTGACAGCAGTGCTCTCTCTCTCTCTCTTTCACTCACTCATGGAATAAATAAATAAACGTTCTAAATCTGGAAAGCAGAGCCCTGTGTTTTGTTTGTTTGTTTATTTGTTCATTTGTTTTAAAAATGAATTCAAGATAAAGACTGAAATGTGAAAGATAGAAAGCTAATAAAATAAAATGGAGAAAGTCATCTTTGCAGCCTGAATGGATAAAGACTTTTTGAACATTAAGTTAAGTCCTCAAATCACAATGTCAAAATTGAATGGATTTAACATCATCCAAATGAAGGATTGTAGTTCGACAAATAACACCCTAGGAAAAAGTCAGCAGGCTTTAAAACCAAAGAGATTAATATCTAGAATATACTCCCACAAAAAAAAAAAAGAAAAAGAAACAAAACAAAATGCCTACAAATCAGCAGTAATGCAATAATGGAAAAATGAGAAAAGGACATGAAACGGTAAAGTCCACCTACCTATCAAGTACATGAAGAAAAGCTAAACACCATTATCAACAAAATAACTGAAAGTTTAAACATCAGGTTCTTCTTCATCCATTAGAATTACAAACACGAAATAGTATGAAGTGTTGGAGAGGAGATGGGATCGAGAGAAACCATTTGGTATTATTGAAGGGACTATAAACTAGTCCAGTGGTTCTGGAAAGCAATCTAAAGATACTCAGGAAAATAAGTAGAAAGACGAGGTATACTTCAGCAATTGACTTCTGGGAATATCTCAAGGACACTAACCCCCAGAATCATCAGAGGACATGCACTTTGTTATTTCTGGCTGTATCATCTGTAGTAGAGAAGTTAGAAACAATAGCCATTGTTAGGGGAAATGATTAAATAAGAGGCACGCTATGAAAATAATATACAATTATTTAAATAGCAAACTGTACCTAGAGTAACACAAACAGATATAAGCAGTTTGTTGAATATTGAGAGCCTCATTGCACTATAAAAATATATACTTAAAATATATACTTAATGCTGAACATGATGTAATTCCAAAGTGCTTTTAAAATAAATATATTGTGGGGACCAGCAGTTAGCATAATGGCTATGTCGCTGGAAACGCATGTAGTCGACCGTGGTTCAAGTCCTGGACCTGGAGGCTTAAACTCACACTGGACGCATGTGCATGAGTGCCCAAGATCCCAAGAGGAGAATAGAGGAGAAGGGATTGCGGTGTGACCATCCCCCCGGGGGGTGATTTCTTGCTTTCTATCTATCTCTCTGTCTTTCAGGCAAGCGCATGCATCCTATAGCGAAAACCTCTCCAAAAAATAAATAAATAAATAAATACGTAAATTGTGGTAATTACATTCTGAAGAAGAGGACTGGGTGGGAAATAGAGATTAAGGGGGGAAGCAGAATGAGCTCTTGCATGTACTGATGAAGCTGTACTAAGAACCAAGGAGTATATTCATTTAGCTCAATTCTGTACTGAGATTTAAACATACACACACATACTCACAACTTTCCTAAACTCCTGAATTCCTTTTAAACCATTATTCTAATAAGTCATATCTGCAATGAGGATGCTGGAGTAACCATATAGACTTATTACATATTTTTGGTTACACTACCTCAGTGGTTCACAACAAGGGGCAATTTTGCCCCACCTCCAACTCCTAGGAAACATTTGGAAATGCCTGGAAGCTTTTTTTATTGAGGAGGGAGGGGTGATGGCTGGTAGGGGTGTCTGAGGCAGGGGTCAGAGGTGGCTGGGCAGGGAGGGGAGTGCTGATGGCATTGGGTGGGTAGGAGCCAGGGATGTTGCTAACCATACTATAGGGAACAGGGCAGTTCCCACAACAAGGAAGCAATCACCTCAAAATGCTAGTAACACTGGGAACCAGCAGTTAGTGTAATGGCTGTGTCGCTGGATTCCCACGTAGTTGAGCACGGTTCAAGTCCCAGACCCGGTGGCTTGGAACTCACGCCAGTCATGTGTACGTGCGTGCCCAGGATCCTGAGAGGAGAATGGAGGAGAAGGGATTGCAGCGTGACCATCCCCCCTGGGGGGTGATTTCTCGATTTCTGTCTCTGTGACTCTCTCTGTCTGTCTGGTGAGTGCACACGCCCTATAGCAAAAACTTCTCAAAAAAAAAAAAAAAAAGCTAGTAACACTGAGGTGGAGAACCTTCTACTATCTCCCTACATTACCCATGCAGGGCTTCTTTGATCTTTGGCAGGCTGCCCTTCAGAGCGACCAAGATGCTCTTTCCTTCCTGGTGGCCCTACTTCCTTGTCTCCTCCCACCTTCCTCTTCCAGTCTTGTTTGACTTCTGTTCATGTAATATTTTCTTGAGGTGTTAAGAAGAGGCCTTGCTCCCTGGATAATTCATTAATTTACTTACAATATCATAATGTTTTTAATTGCTGAGCTAGACATGAGTGGGATAAACTGATAGTAGGCCTTTAATAATTAAAGGGAAAAAAATGATAAACTGACTTTTACTTCTTTTCCTTTACTCTCATACAAGTTGCTCCTCCAAACATAAATTTTTTTAAATATGAAAGATTTCCAACTTAAGATTCACTAAGAGCCTCTATTAAATCTTCATAAATTTGATGAGAGAAGAAAAGCAGTGATAGCTTCCTGGGAGTACAACAGTTTAAAAAGAACAAACTTGTGTGGGGAAGTGGGGAGAGGACCAGGAAAATCCAAGTAGAGTTTGGGATGGAATCCGCAAAGGGACAAACTTAACCAAGTTGGACCGGTCGGGTATGGGGACTGAACTTCAGCAACTTGAACCCTCAACTGGAGCAAGAGAGAAGGAAGAGAGTGACTGACTTCTTAAGGAACTGCAACCTTCTCTGGAACTCAATGGGTCTAGTGAGTCCCAGGTGGGATTTAAGTCCCAAGAATGGAAATTTTTCCGTTGATGGTGACTGTTTTGAATGTTGTGGGTCTCCTATTCCAGTATTACAATTCAATATAAGCTAAAGAGCAGATTAACGCTCTGAACAGCCATGGTTTGGGTTTTTTGTGTATTTTCCCTGAAGTTTTATCAATTGTGATTTGACACTTTATCCCACGGGCTCTCCTGTTGCCTCTTGAGTGCCTTTGAGAATAAATAATCTCCAAAGAACAGTTATCCCTCTCCCAGATATCCTGTGTTTTGTTGTTGATGTGGTGCTGGTGTGTTTGTTTTGTTTCTCTTCTGTTATTAAAGATTGAAACAAAAGCTTAGAAGATCTCTGGAGAGACGTTTTCTTTATTCTGAGTAGTAGGAAGTTGAATATGTTCAAGTTTCAAAATGGCCTTCTTCTCCAGATAAAAAATGTCTAATTCTTATGAATCATCAGGACTTGAATTTGTGTTTTTAGAAAATAAGGAAAGCTGGGGCAAGCAGGAGACATAGAGGTTGAGGCGCTGGACTCCCATATGGCAGACCACTGTTCGAGTCATGGACCTGGCAGCTTGCTTTCTCACTTTCTGTCTGTGTGTCTCTCTGGTCAAATTGGGGGAGGGGGGAGTAACATTAAATAAAATATTTTTTAATTAAAAAAATGAAAATATGGAAAGCTTAAAAAAGGTAGAAAATGCTCGCAGAAAATCGTCCTGCCAACCACGAACTGAATTACCCTAAAGTGTGTAGTACAATCATTAGTTACACCCCTGTCTCTTTAACAAACTGGAAAGTGGCGGAGGAGGGGCGTGCCGCCGGAGCGACGAAGGCTCTGATTGGTCCTTCTGGCAGGAAGTGGGCGGTGAATGCGCCTTTCTGTTTTTGTCCGAGGCGGCAGGGTGAGAGGCTAGGGCCGCGGAGGGCTTCGGGACGGGACGCGGGAGCCGCCTCTTCTTCAAATAGCGGGCGTGGGGACGTGGGGACGTGGGGGTGCAGAAGAGATCCTCCTCCACCGGGTGGGTCGGGGCCCTGGCAGCGTTTTTGCGAAGGTGTCCAGCCCTAGTGGCTGGGCCGCAGTGGGCCCGGGGTCCGCTCAGACCGCTGAGACCACTCGGTGACCCGGGAGCTGGAGGAGAGGTGTCATCTGCGCGCCGGCCACCGCCCTCGCAGCTCCTCCGAGGCTCCTATCTCAACCTGGGTTCTCTTTTTCCCTTGTTCTGCAGGCCTGTTTCCGGCGTCATGGCTCAAAGGGCCTTTCCGAATCCTTATGCCGATTATAACAAATCCCTGGCCGAGGGCTACTTTGATTCTGCCGGGAGGGTGAGTTTGGCATAAATCTACCTGCATCCCTAACCCCCAGTGTTCCAAAAGAAGCTTCCGTTCTGCTTGAGAGGGATGAATATCCCCTTTTCAAATGAGTGATTTGAGAAGAAATAGATGAAGTATTTCTAAAACAAAAAAAATTACATATCAACATACACAACCTGAGCTCCAGCATGTTGACGAACTATGAAGTAAGGAGTTATTGTTAAAACTGTTCATTCATCATTTTAAAACTTTCCATCGTTGATAGTATCAATGATAAAAATGAGTGTAGATGAAGCTTACCATATAGTTCAGCATTTCCGATCTGTTTTGTTTTGCTTCTTTGAATTAGGTGAAGAACCTTAATGGTATTGATGTGTACCATGTTATCATTTTGATTGCACACAAGTATGGACCAGGGTGATAATGAGAGTAAACTGGGATGTGTGGTAAGGGTGTCTTTAAACTGATGGAGCTGAGGGAAATTGGAAAGCTAGGCCTGAAGTGCTTTGTACCATTGCCACTCTTCAGAACATCCCCATGGCTTAAAAAAGAAAACTCTAGAAAATTTAACTGAATCGTATTCATAAGCCATTCCATCTGGATGTGAGTGATACACCCAGGCCTATGTTTTCTCACACTCTTTGTTAGAACATAATTGTTAAGAGGGGGTATAGTTCTTTTTAAAGAACAGCTACTTTGATAAAGCTTAATAGTGATCTAGGTTGGAGGGCTGCACACTTTTTAAAAAAAATTAAGCAGTTTATTTCTTCAAAACTCGGATCAGCCACACAGAAAATATTTCACGTGAGATATAAATGCTTTACACATAGAAAGTTAAGTTAACTTGATTCCTCTCTTAAAACATTTGTCATTATTGGTTAATTTGCATCAGTAATGCAGGTAGGAGGGATGAGAGAGGTGGAAAGTGTAAGGTGTAAGGCTACCAAAGTGTATATGGAGTTAGGGTCGAACTGATGATTTTAAGGCCAATAGAGAGCTGCTCAGACAAAGATTTTTTAATTACCTAGAGATCCGATGGCTTCCCTTGGGCCATCTAGGTCTGTGTTCTGCCTAGCTCTGCAGATCCTGTACTCAATTTATGTCTAGTCTTGTTGGAGGACGACATGCTGCTTCATGCCAGCTTGACAAAGAGAACACTTGAAGTTGTTTCCTGATGACAAAAGCCTTTAGTAAAATGTAGCTCACTAAAGTGCTTAGAAATGACATCCTTTTTGTAGATTTCACTCTTTATTTCAGAGGGGAATAAAAAGACGAGTTCATAGTAATTTATTGCCTAATGGAATTTTCGAACAGATTGTAGAAAGAAGCTAGCATAACAGCTCTAAAATTATGTAATATTAAATGTAAACGATCAGACCTTGGAGATCTTTCTTAATTTAACAGAAAGATTTTAGTAAGGAACTTGTTTTCTGGCATCTGTCAGAAAAAAAAAGGATTTTGAGAGACTCTTCCCATTATTGCTAGGGTTTGAATGATGTGGTTGTCTGCCACAACCAATCAATATTCTCAGACAGGTCACCTTTATTAAATGCAGTATGTGCCAAATAGAAAGTAACTTCCATTCCTGAGGCTGCGGCATTCTCATTATTCCTGGCCTCTTGAAGTAAGGCCAAGCAAGATGATAAATTATACATGATCTATGTACAGAAGATGGCAGGTTCTCGGGTAGATGCACTCTTCGATTTAGCAGAGATTTATAGACCATGTTTATTAATATTGAAGTATGTTTTAACTTACTAAATGTATTTTCAAGTCTTGTTGAAATCTTAACCTCTTGGCAGAAATTGTTAAATGAAAGTGTGTCTCAAACAACATGGTTCCTTCATCTCATTGTGAAAGGAGTCAGTGGTGCTTACTAATAATAATACAGATGTGGGACCAGCAGGTGGCACAGTGGTTAAGGCACCAGACTTGACTCTCATGTGGCTGATTGCAATTGGAGTTCCAGACCCAATGACTTGAAAATCACTCTGAGCACTTATGCATGTGTGTCCAAAATCCCAAGAGGAGAATGGAGAAGAAGGGATTGAAGCGTGGCCATTCCCCATTGGGGGATGATTTTTCACTTTCTTTCTCTATCTCTCTGTCTCTCTCTCTCTCTCTCTTTCTCTCTCTCTCTCTCTCTCTGAGGAGTGCACACACCAATCGGCATAAACCTAAAAAAAATAAAATAATATTGTCAGAAAAGTTATGACATATTTTTTCTGGTTTTCTATGCAAAAATCCATCATGACTTTTCCACCAACATAATAATAATAATAATACAGATATGGTTGAGAGTCTTGATTTGTCCTATCAGAGTTGCTCATTCAAAATGCATCTTAGTATTCATTTTAATCATTGCTGTTATCTTATACTGCTTTATTAGTTTCTTTAGTGTTAAGATGTTTAAGATAACTCTTTTAGAAATAAAGTTCTGATGCTAATATGTAGTGTTAGATTTGTGACTTTAGTTCTTACATGGGGAAATAAAATGCAATGTTCCCTCACATTATTTATGAAATATTACCGCTTTGTGAAATAAAGTCTGGGAATCATAGCAGGATCCTAAACTTACTGAAGGATACATTAAAATGACCTTATAGGACACTTAATGATTCAGTGTTTGTAAAACTTAAAAAACCTTTCCAAACTGCCTTTAGGAAGAAGAACATAATGATGGTGTGGACCTCACAGTTTGCCCCGCATCTGTTGGCCCCATATGAATGTTACTAACCCCAGAGCCCTAGCCTTAGTGTGCTGTCAATCAACATCCATATTCTTGTCAGAGACCCTCGAGCTGCTAAAGAATAGTAAAAATGCCATCATTTACATCCCTGAGTGAGAAAGACCCATGATACACAGTCTCATTTATTTCTCAAAGTACCTTTTGAAGCTGGTGGGACAGTTCTTATCCTGACTTTATGGAGGCAATTGAAGCATAAAGAAATTACGAGTTGAGCAAGATCGGTCAGAGGAGAGTGGGTAAGGAGGTAGCCAGGCTCATTCATTGAGCAACGTTTGCACAGCCCCTATCCTACCAGGCACTGAGCCGGGCATAGATTTATTATTTTAAATAATTATTTATTTAATTTTATTTATTCATTCACTTATTTTAACTTGCCCAGAGAAGGATGAACACACAGAGAGAAGGAAAGTGAGAAAGCAAGCCTCTAGGTCCAGACTTGCACTGTGGTCAGCTGTGTGGCAATGTCCAGGTCCTTAACCACTGGCACCGCTGGGCATAGATTTTTAATGCAAGGTTTGATGTTTTCTCTCATTTTGTTTGAGACTTTGATATACATGAATATGTTTTGCTTTTATTATGCTATTTCAGTTTTTTAAAAAAGTTTAGGGGTCAGTGAGTGGTATGGTGCTTAAGAAGCTGGATTACCACCTGGCCGACTCCGTGGTTCAAGTCCCAAACCTGGCAGCTTGAAAAAATCACACGAGGCATGTGTGCGTATGTCCAAAATCCCAGGAGAAGAATGGAGAAGAGATTGCGCGTGGTCATCTTCCCAGGGGGTGATTTCTTTCTTTTCCTCTGTGTGTCTGTATCTCTCCAGTAGGTGCTTGCTTTTGCTATGGCAAAAGCCTAAGGAGAAAAAAAAAAAAAAAATAAGATTATCCCTTTTAAATAACAAATGCTTTATTTTTTGGAGAAGTGTTTGCTATAGGGCACTTGTGCTGGCCAGAAACAGAGAGAGACAGAAAGTGAGAAATCACTCCCCAGGGGGGATGGCCACGTGCAATCCCCTCTCCTCCATTCTCCTCTCAGGATCTTGGGCACGCATGCATACGCACCCAGTGTGAATTTAAGCCACCGGGTCTAGGACTCAAACCACAGTTGACTACATGGGAGTCCCGTGACATAGCCATTACACCAATTACTGGTGCCAATAACAAATTCTTAAATAACAAAAACAATTAGCATGTTTCTGTAAAGGAAACTTTAGTATTCAAACTGCTGCTTGAATACTAAAAATCCATTGGTGACCCAGCCTCTGTCTACACAGTCCTTAGCATCTGAGCTGCAGAGGTGGAATCCACATAGCCAGCCATGGATTTAGAACCCCAGCCCCATGGACCTGGAATAGCCAGGTGGATGCAAGCAAAGGTCATAGTGAGCTAGAGGGCTAGGAAAGGGGCTTATGGTGTGACAGACTTTGTTGAGGACACCCTCTCCTCTTGCATTTGTGCATATGCTCTCATGAATAAAAAATATATATATATATATTTAAACCAGTGGCTTTAAAACAGCAAATATCTTCTGATGTGTGCTAATCTAAAGATTACTTTTTATTATAATAAAAAATATTGGTTTAAGTAATAGATATTAAATTAGGTGGAATATTACTTTAAGCCAGGTTATCAGTGCAGTCTAATACAGCAATATTTCTCACCTTGATAGAACAATTTAGTAGTACCTATACATTTTGGTAATAGGCTGTTGTTTAAGAATAGATAATACATTCACCAGTTCTCTCAGCAGAAAAATGTGCCCTAAGTAGAAATGAAATAAACCCTCCTGTTTTGGATAGCATATTGTCTGGGATATTAATATGATGGCCTATGTTTTTTGATATTTTTGTTTCCTTAACATCTACAGCTGACTCCTGAGTTCTCCCAGCGCTTGACCAATAAGATTCGAGAGCTTCTTCAGCAAATGGAGCGAGGCCTGAAGTCAGCAGATCCTCGGGATGGCACTGGTTACACTGGCTGGGCAGGTATGAAGTGCTGGCATAAGTGTTGTACCTTAGAGCCGAGCTTTCCCTTTTCAGAGCTGTCTGATAGAATGGCGCACCCATAATACCTCCTGCATCTGCCTATGAGTAATTGCTTCCAGGATGGTGCTGTGCTCTTAATGCAGGCATGGTACCTTCTGGATTATAATAGTCTCCTAAATTTAGGAAATGGTAAGTATATTCCTCTAAGTCAGTTCTGATATTTAGATGGCTGCTAAACTTGTAGGAAAAAAAAAATCATTTTTAGTATTACAAAGTTAGTTACTTTGAAGATGGAAGTTCAAGGTGCAAAAAATATAGAGGTAAGGGGGAATTATCCTGAGGAAATAAAACATGTTCAAGAGTGTTATTTTTCACATAGCCCATAAATGGGATCTGTGCAGGAATACAGGTAAAGTATTTATTCCATTTACTAAGTCTTGCATATGGGTCATTGCTTCCTGGTTTACGTCTACTATAAAGCTAATCTCAATCACTGAGAGGTTGGAGAAGGTTGGGAAAGAAATATGTTCTGACTCATACACTGTTGTTTAACAACAGAATACCTGAAACTGGGTAATACATAGGAGTAGAAGTTTATTCAGCTCATGATTCGGAGATCTAAGGTCCAGGAGCTGCATCTGGTGATGGCCTTCTAGCAGGTGGGAACTCTACGGAGTCCTGAGGTAGCTCAGAACATCACGTGGCAGCTAGAGGGCAAAACCTTGCATGTCTGTGTTGGTGTCTGTGTTTTATAAACCCCTAAATCTTCTCCCAAAGTCTTCACCTTTCAACACCTTGGTTTAAGTTTCCACCATCTTAAATCTGATCACCGTCAGATCTCAGCACACTGGGACACATTCAAACCACAGCAAACAAGTATATTGGTGTCAGAAAGGGGAGAAACTAAAGAAGGAAAGTTGAACGACTACAGTTAGTTTGCCCAGTATAGAGAGACAGATAAATAGCTTTATACAGTCCCTCCTCCACTCTCCTCCTAAAATTTCCAGCACGCATGCACGTGTCCAGCGTATTTTTCAAGCCACTGGGTCTGGAACTTAAAACAGCGGAGTTGATCATGGAGATCCAGCACCTCAACCACCTCACCATCTGCTGGCCCCCTAAGGTCCATACTTTTTTAAGTAAGAATAAATTAGATAATGTTAGGCCATCTCTCATATAATTTAGTTGTGTGATTTTGATAGATTGTAGAAGCTTAACACAAGAAATGTTAATATGAGAATAAAATGAAAGTGCTTTTGCTTTAAGAAGCAAGTTGTAACAACTGTCATTTATTGAGTATCTACTGTGTTGCAGGTATAGTGTAACTGGTAATCTTATTAGTGAACATCAATTTTTTTTTTGTATTTAAAGTTACCAGGATTTGACAAAACAGGACAAATACCATGCACCATTGTCTTTGGCTTTCCTCTTTCCTCCCAGACTTATATAGATCTTTTTAAAATATACTTGAGTTGGGGCCAGCAGGTGGCATGGTGGTTAAGGGTGCTGGATTCCCAAATGGTTGATCACAGTTGGAGTCCCAGACCTAAAGCTTTCTCACTTTCTCTCTTTCTTTCACTCTCTCTGTCCCTCTCTGGTCAAATTAAAATAAATAAATAAAGTTAAATTTTTTTTAAACTTTAAAAAAATATATATTTGAGGTTCTGTTGTATTGTTATTTCTGGCAACAATACAGGCTGAGACAGATTGCTAGACTTAATTCTAGGACAAATTACAGAAAGACTTAAACCTGTAAATTACTCATTCAGATGACTTTATATATTATTACTTATTCCTTCTAGTATTTACTTTAGGGAGAAAAGAAGTAGGAATTGATTTCAGGTTTGAATTACTAGTTTGATGATGTGAGGAAAAGCCATCAGTCAGTGTCCTGTATGTTTAGGACCAAGTGAGAAACTAGAAGTTAAATGTTCTTTGGAAATAGAAAAGAAATTCCCTCTAAAGTAAAACACAAGTTTTCTCGTTTAAATTTTTTGGCCGTATGGGGTTATCAAGATCATCTCTGCCTACCAACATCATTCAGAGTTTTATCCTGAAGGATTTATGATGCTCATTGCTGGCTCCTGAAAGCAGCTTGTATGGCAAGAGTCTGAGGCAGACTAGCATGCTAAGCAGTTCAGGATATCTTCAGTTGCTGATTATTTTAGGACATTACGTAAAGTCTTCTAAATAAATGTGCTAATGGCTTTCAAGGCAAAGTTCCTAATGTGTCCTAATCGAACATTGTTAAAAAGTCATTATTCTCACATAATAGACCATCTCCTAAAGTGTTTTGGTAAGTAAAATGCTACCTTGTGTCTGTGTTCAGACAGTCTGAATTCCTTAAAGCTCTGAGTTGTATAAGAAACTACAGCTTTTCCACCACAGAAAATTATGTTAACACTTTATCCTATTATGTTATAGCTTATTAAGTATCATTTTTATAACTGCAGTTTTGCCAACACAAATGCATTTACAAACAACTCAACAATTTAGATACTTGTGTGCCAAAGCAATGTTTATATAATTATGTATACATTTGCAACATGCTACCTTTCAAAAATGATACCATGCTATCTTTCAAAAATGATACTTTCAGGGGACCAGCAGTTAGCGTAATGGCTATGTCCCTGGACTCCCATGTAGTCGACTGTGGTTTGAGTCCCAGACCTGGTGGCTTAAACTCATGCCAGGCACATGTGTGTGCGTGCCCAAGATCTGGAGAAATTGGAGGAGAAGGGATTGCAGCGTGGCCATCCCCCTGGGGGGTGATTTCTTGCTTTCTGTCTGTCTGGTGAGCGCACACTCCCTATAGCAAAAACCTCTCAAAAAAAAAAAAAAAAAGATACTTTCAGGAAACAAGAAATACATTTTTTTAATTGTGTTCAGTATGAAATTTAAAGCCATATTTTTAAAAATTTACTGTTTTTGTTGCTAATTTGTCTAAAATTACACTACTTTGGGAAACATTTAATTGTATAAAACCCTTAGCACTTTCTTCAACATTGATATTTATTGAGCATTTGTTGGCATGTACCATGAAAACATACAAATTATCATTATATTATTCACTACATAGTTTATATGAGAAAATGTGTAATTATTACAGTTAGCTAGAACTTTATCATCTTATTTCATATTAATTCATTCCCCAGTTAGAAGTATGATTTGATAGTTGATACTGGTTCAGGTAGGATTAGGATTTGAAATAGGATTAGATTCAGCTGCTTATACCCAGAAAGAGAAAAAACAAAATTTAAATAAGACAGTTTAAGTAAAATAGTTTATTTTTCTGTCATGGAAAATGATGCCAGAGGGAGGCAGTCCCTACTATATTAGCCATGGACTGATATTACAGAATTATAATAGGAACCTAATTTCTTTCTTTCTGTTCCGTCATTCCTCAGCCACTAGCTTCTGCCTCTTGGTCAATATGATTGCAGACTAGCCATTTCATTACCTTTGCAGACTGCTGGAAGTAAAAAGAAGCGAACAATAATTTCCATTCCTTACAAAGACTTCCTTGAAGTCCTTCTCAGCATTTCAATTTGGCTTACTTTTCATTGGCTGGAACATAGTCACGTGGTCACTGCTGTTATTGTGAAAGGGTGGTAAGTGTAGTCAGCCAGCTGGGGGTTTCGTTACTAAAGGAAGGAGAATGGGTTTGGGGATAAGATATAGTAGTCTCTGCTATGAAACTCTCTCTTAAGAACAATGATCCTTTTCTTTTGGCACAAGGTATTTGGAGAGTGAGCCTCAGTTTTTCCATTTGCAAAAGGTTCTTTAAATTCTCTTCACTTTGGGGGGTGGGGGCCTATGTGGATAAATTTGCCAATGGCTACAAAACATTTTGAAATTTGCCAAGCAAGATTTTGCATGCTGTTGGTTTTCAGGAAAACTCATTTAGATTTTAATTCAAAACACCTTTATTCTTTCTTTATTTATTCTAAAACTAAATGTAGCTTAAATTTAGAAGAGATTGCAACTACCTCTCAACTCAATACTCTGAAACATTGCTATTTTCTTAGTTTAAATAGACAATACTCTTCCTCCCCTTTCTCTGTCGTCTCAAACTCTTGCTTGCCATTGTAGGATTATAGAGTGCTTAAAATTTGCTTATATCGTGCATGAGTCCAAACTAAATCCCATAGTCATATGTTTATGTTTCTACTTCCTGACTCTAAAGGAAGCTCAAAGCTAGACTGTTTAACGTCATAATTCATATTATGTCTCGATTTGTCATAGTTGCTCAGTTGATCTTGACAGTGAAAGAATTCTAGTGGAGAGAGGAAGCACCCACATGTGTTTAACATTACATATGTATTTACTACTGAAAAATGGCACTCCTGTGTTTTTTCCCCTTTCTATCTTTTCAGAGGCTAAAGGTGACAGGGTACTTAGATTTCTACGAAAGCGTCTGTGTGTCATATATCTGGGGAATGATTACTTCACTTAGTTTGACTACTATTTTATATTGTTGTGTTTCATTCTTTGGTTGTAGTATGGTTGATAGTTAAGGCTGCTTTCATATAAGATTGCGATTAGGAATGAGATTATTTCAAATAATTTCATATGTTCAAAATGCTCTGTTAGTGATATGTACAAGTTTAAACACAAATTTGAAAGAAGCAAATAATTTCAGAAAGCACATTCGCTTAACATGTTTACAACTGAAATTATCTTGGCTTTTATTTTAAGATGGAAGCGAAGGATATGGCACAGTGACGAGGGTGTATATGATAGGAGCTTTTAGTAGAATTCAAACATCATTTCCACTGAGGCCTACGTACTTAGGCAGATGGGTTGTTATAGTGTAGTCCTACCAGGTATATCCTGGACTTTTACCTTTTTTTCTTTTTTATTCACAGCAGAGAGGGATTAGCACTGATCCTAGGAAAGAAAGGCGAGCCTTTAAAACCTCACAGCTGTCCCACATTGCCAAGCAAGGCATTTAACTATACTGGATGAATTTTGGTTTCTAAGGATATAAGGATCCTCTG